TGGGGTTTTCCCATTTTGTTGTTTTGCCAGAGCTGTGCTCTAGGGACTGGGCTGGGCACAGGACCAATGGAAGTGCTGAGCTGGTGTCACTCTCCTCACATCCCTGGTGGACCCAGAGTCACTAGAGATTTCAGGGGAGGGGAGAAGTTGGCTTTATAACTGTCCATCCACACCTCCTTCCTGGCTGCTTATGATCTAGAGGGCACATTCTCAGTATTCCTGGAAGGGTTAGAAGTACTGTAGCTGGTGTATAGCTACGGCCTTATTTCTTATGTCCAGAGGTACAATACATGTAGGGATCCCATACTCAGTCAGAGGTCTCTACATAGCCATACCTTTTTAGTAGCCAGGCCTCTGACAGGGCTGACCACACCCAGGAGGCAGCTTTGCTTGTAGGCTTTGAGACATGACACACCATACTCAGGCATTTGTACCAGGTCCCAGTAACTAGGAGCGGGGAGATATGTACTTCAGCCTACCTGTCCACAGGGTTCTTACACAGGTTGGCTTCACCCAGAGCAGGGTTCCAGGGTGACCTCATCTTTGGTCTTGCTTCAGTCTCAGTCCTCTAGTTTTTTTTTTTTTTTTTTTTTTTAAAAACCTCTTTGAGTCTTTCTCTGAAATGGCTCTGTGTGTCTATCTGTACCAGGGATATGGCTGTAAATAAATCAACTGACTGCTAACATTTGAACTCTGTTATCTGCTGGGGATTTAAGTTTTCTGGGCTCCTTCATCTGGTTCTGATGACCTCAGATACCCTGCTTTCCAGGAACAGTTCTTAAGATACCTGGCCTGGGTCCCATCCTTTGGGTGCATGAACATAGGGTTCTCAGGCTTTTTTGAGGAGAATGTAAGGCTTGGGCAGGGAGGTGTTCCTTTTGCTTTCTCCTCCTTCACTTTCTGAGCACCAGCCATATGTGGTCACTGTCATGGGCACTGGGGGTAGAGAGTGAAATGATCAAGACATCACCCTTGCCATTTTTTGTAAGTGCAGGGACCAAGTAGAAGCTGTGGATAAACTCATCACAGTCCCAGCGATGTGCTAAGAGGGAAGGAGCCCCCTCTCTCCAGAAGAGCTATATAGCAGTCCTACTGCCTCAGCCTCCCAAGTGCTGGGATTACAGCAGTATGCCACATGCTCAGCTGTTTTTTTAGTTTGAGATGGTCTCACTGTATACAGAACTCATGTCAGTCTTGCAGTCCTGCCTCATCTCAAGTATTGAGATGACACACATATACCACCATGCCTGGCACTCTGTGTCTTCTCCTGTGGCCATAGGTATGAGTGGTTTACTCTATGATGAAGTGTTTCCTATACAACAAAAGATGACCTCAAATTTGGAGTTTAAAGCTGTGGTGAGGATAGTGTGTTCCTACAACAGTGGTTCATCTTGAACATTCCTTTGCAAAGCAGATGCTGCTTGGGGGCTCAAACTGCTGCATCATGGTGAGGTTGCCTCATTTGAGGAATAGAGACATGAGGTGCCACATGTGTACATGGTGCTACATACAGAAATATTCAGCACACATCAGAAAGGGGACCTGACTTGGCTCTTCTGCTCTGCTTGGCTGCTTCTGCTCTGTGTGTGTATAGAGGAAACTCAAGAGCTTGGCATTTCCTCAGAAGCCCACACCTCTCAGGCTGGCAGTCCGCAGACATGTTACATGTTGATTTCACTCATTCATACCCCTTCCTCCACCCCTAGAATTTTCTGATAGCTTCAGTTTTTTTGTTGTTTAAAAAGGGAAGTGGAAACAAAGCAGTTCTGCCTTGCCCACATACTTGGAGAGTCTATCAAGGGTACTCCTAGCTCTCGTAAGCATGGTGAGGAGCATGGGGAGGTACAAGAGAGGTGTCTTTTCTACCTTCTGTACCCTAAGTCTAAGGAACTGGGACAGCCTCTGCAGCTGGCTTCACTGTCTCTTATCTCCCTTCCCATGCTGCTGACCCCATCTTCCTCCGGCCCTGTAGTCCTGTGCCATTGCTTGGGAGGTTGCTGTGTGTCCTGCAAAGTCTCAGAAAGTAGCTGTGCACTGACTTCCAGGTTCCCGAGCAGGCCACACGAATGTCTCCTGGTGTGCCCTCTCTCCTCTGTCTACCATATGGAGAGCCTTTCTCCCATGACAGGCCGTGGGACTACTCCTTGCCAATTCTGTGTGCATGTGCTCTACCCCTTTCCTGGGTGCTTGCTGGTACCATTGTGTGGTGGGGCAGCAGACTGCTCTCTTTAGCTGCTGTGAGGTCTGAGGCCCACAGCCCCATCTCACTTATCATACAATCTAGGTACTTAGGGTTCTGGCCACGATGAAGAGTCTGTCACCAATGGAAAGAGGCAAGGAAGGGAGGTGTTGTGGCTAAACTCATCTTCCTGAGGCTCCTCTGCTGCCCTTCTCTAAGACAGGATAAGATCCTTGTCCTCCATGCTCCATTCTCCTACACCCCTTTCTCCTTCATCTTCTTTGAGATCTCTCAAACCATCTCCATGGTAACTTACCTTTGCTGGTTAGTGATCCAGAGATGCAAGCCCAGCCACATGTATCCCTTTTGCTCCTCAGTCAGGGTCCTTTTGCATAATGACCTCTCACCAGGATGTGGTATTTCAAGTTTCCTGTTGTGCTTTTAGATTCTGTTAGACTAGAAAGTTCCCAAGGGCAGGAAGTATATTTAGAGTCCAAGGGAACATATAGCACTTAGACTTTAAAATCACAGTGTTTTCTTTTCTGTAAAATAGAATAACCACTGCTATCTTGTAGTGCAGTCTCAAGGATTGAATGAATTACTGTGAGTGAAGCTTAGTCCCTGAGACATATAAAGGCTTATTGACCAGCACTGATCTTATTAGTCTGATAGAGACTAAGCTGGGTGTCACTGCAGCTTTAAGAACTGACAAGTGGGAATTCAGTGCCATTTTGACAAGTATGATCAGGAGGGAGCAGAGCTATGACACTGGGTAGCCTCTTCTGCTTCTCTCACCTGCCTGTTGTCCTCTGCCTCCTTTCCCAGGCCCTCAGGCCCTCAAGCTTCTGAGGAAGTAGTTAGTGGCAGTCATTCATCTATGATCAGACCTGGAGGTGGACAATGGGGAGACTTTCTGACTGGACTAGTGTGAGCTGAGGAACAAAGGGATGGGAAAAGATTAGATTGTAGAGGGACCAGAAGGGGGGCCCTCAGTGACCCACCCACCCATAACAGCACCTCTGCATGTGCAGTGCTTGCTCTTGGTTGAACTGACCTCACCTCCTACTTGTACACTCCACATTCACAGCACCTCTGGAGTATCTCGAACCACACAGAGAGGAGATGGCAGCAGTTAGTGCTGCAAGGGGGAAAGCTGGTTTGCTGACCCCATCCAGTGGGCAGTGGGTGTTTCGTGTCCAGCTGTGCAGTAAGAACAAAGCAGCAGCTAAGAGTCCCCTAAAGCTGCCTGTGAGGTGTTCTGCCAGGTGCCAGCTGACTTCTGCCTGTTATCTATAGATGGCATCCACTGAGCTGCTGTGCCACATAGGAGGGCAGAGGTGGGTGTGCCTGCAGTTCATACCAGGGTTTATTTCGGGGCTCCTCACCTGAGCTGGACAACAAACTGTTGGAAGTTACTCTGGAGACAACAAGCTGTGGTTACAACTTCTAGAATGTAAGTCTGGGGAAGCCAGCAGTGTCACCACTGAGGTCTGTCCTGGGGGTCCTGATGTTCCTCTGGGTGGAGTTAATGTCCCCTCCTTAACCTCCTCAGGCATGGCCTTTTATTGCAGTTCTGTTCTGCCCATCTGCTTATCTTGGTGAGCCATGCCTTCAGTCTTTTCAACTGAAGAGTGGGTGGCTGAAGGGTAGGGAGCAGCACATCTCATCTGTTTCTGCAGGGTGCTCAGCACTGCAGAGGTGTGGAACGAATGCCAGAAGTGGCCCAGGAAGGATGTGGCACACCCACCTTGGTAGGTAGGGAGCCTTCTATCCAGCCAGCCATCTAGTGCCAGTCAGAGCTTCTGGGATTATGAAGCCCAGTACAACTTGGCTTCTGCTCTATGATGCTCTCTGGACCCTTCTGCTGAGCGACAGGGATTGTGGCAGAAAACAATTAGCTAGTATCCGGGCCTCCCAAGTGCAGACTTCTGCACAAACCCAAGGAAGGCCAACCTGGTGGCAGGATTTTATAGGCGGGTAAAGGACAGCTCTAAGTGTTTTCAACCTGGGGCAAGAGCCCTCCTTCGATTGTTCCTCTGATAGCCAGCCCTTCAGGCACTCCTGAGCTCTGGGCTGACACAGCCTGTGGCTCGGGGCACTGTTACATCTCTTCACGCTTGGTTTAGGCAGCTGATGGAGAGGTACGATGGTTCCCTGCTTCTGCTCCCTGGCTCTTGCAATCTGCCGGAGCCTCAGCCAGCTCGTGTCCCATCCAGGCACGCAGAGCAGGGTCTCGCGCAGCTGCAGGAGCTTTGCGGAGCGTGTGTGCGTGCGCGCGCGAGGGAGGAAGTTGAGAGGGCATGCGCCCGATAGAGCCTGAGTGCCTTCCTATCTGCCCCGCTCCCACTGCGGGGCCCTCGCCCTCACGCCCCGGCTGCACGAGGTATGAGGTGCATGTGTTTGTGGTCGGGAGACATGTGTCCCTGACTGGACGTGCCCCGCGGAGAGGTCAGCGGGCCAAGCTTCCTTCTCTTTCCAGTCTTCCCAGACCTCTCCTCTGCTTCCTTGGGTTGCTAGTACCTCCAGTCATCCCTCTTCTCTCACCACCCTTTTCCTCGTGTGAGAGACAGGCACCTTCCTGTGAGGCCTGGGTCCCCCCAGCCTGAGCCCTGGAGTTTAGCGAGTCCTGGTGCCTGGTATAGTAGTAAGCATACAGCGGAGCTTACATCCTATTCGAGACACTGTGTCGTGGGGGGCGGGGAGGGGGGGCGTTCTGCAAGGCCGCGCAGCTGTGTGCCCATTGGCCAAATGCAAGCCAGGGGCGGGGCCGAGCGCGGGGAGGGGGCTCCGGGGTTTCAGAGCCGGAGTCCGGTGAGGGTTCCGCAGGGAAAGCCCCGCGGTATAGCTGCCGCGACCCCAGCTTGTGCCTGCCCCGCGCTGCAGCCTGGCAGGCAGCAGCTCCGCAGAGTCAGAGCAGGGGAGGCGGGGCGCCTGAGAGGCTCTGCTCACTGTGGGCTGGGCTGGGAGAGGTGTGTGCCGGGATCCTGGATCCCGGCGCCCTTCAGCTGGGGTGAGCGGCTGCTCTGTAAAGAGCGGTCAGACAGCAGCTTCCCAAAACGCCTGGTCGCTCGGCAAGCCGGTTCCCAGAGCTCTCGATCGCAGAGCCGCGTGGTGGCGCAGAGCCGCGGGGGCCCCGGCCGGCTAGGAGCGGGCGCCGTCCCGCAGCAGTGGGGCTCAGGCTCCGGCTTGTCACGAGTGCACCCGCCGGGGCCGAGATCGAGTGCGGACCCCGCCTGCCCGCACTCCGGTGTCCCCTCTGTCCCACTCTGGGAGCGATGCCCCCCGCCCCCCACATCCCCGGAGAACGACGCGAGCATGGAAAAGTCGAGTAGTGAGGACTCTTCGATCCACCGGAGTCCATCTTTGGACAGCAAGGACTCGGACTTCGCCAAGCCATCCACCTCAGGCCGCCCATTCGGTCACGGCTTCACGGCCGGCGCCTTCTACGGCACTGCTGGCTCCCGGGGCCAGAGTCACGCCGAGGCCGGTGTTAAAACCGACAAATACAATGCACCCAAAGGCAGCAAGTACGTGGTGTTTTACCTGGACCTGTCCTTTGTGTTCCTCCTAGAATTTAAGAAGTGCAACATGGCCAGGGGCTGCCTCTGCTGCTTGAAGTATATGATGTTCCTCTTCAATTTAATATTCTGGGTAAGTCCTTGCATCAGTTCCCCTCTATTCTCTTCTCCAGCATAGTAAGCTGAATACCTGCTCCACTTGGCTCAGTCTTTATACTGCATTGCTCAGGTAAGTGCTTTTTAAAACTAATCCCCCACCCCCTTCAATGCATCTCTGTCTTTCTCCTTTCCCTCGGTTGCTGAAAGAAGGCTCCAACTTGCCTATCTTCCAGGAGAGAATTGCCTTACTCCTGGAAGGGTGGCAAAGTTTGTCACCCTCTCTCCCCCATTTAGAAAACTCATGTGGGAAGTGCCTTAGCCCTCACACCGCACCTGCAGCAGTGGTGTGGGGTCAGAATTTGTAACAGCTGTGACCCTGTGCTGCCTGAGGAAACGTGAGGAGGGTTTTCTTAGTTTCTTCCTGTATCATTCCGAATGTATAGAAGTACAGTCTGCAGCATTTAATGGGTGGGATGGCATGAGTGTAGAGGTGTCACCTCTGTGCCTTAATGACTCCTGGGAAGACACGGTGTGCCCCTATCCCAAGCTGAGCTGGGGCTTCTATAAGGAAGGTGCACTGGGGGCATGCTGCCATCGGGTGTCTTGCTGCTGCTTTTGAGGGATTGCAGTGGACTGGGCAGGGAACAGGCTGCCACATGCTCCCAGACTCTGGGACCGGAAGGAACAAAGGGAGACAGTCAGTGAGTGGTGCTCAGTCCTTGGTGAGGTTGTTTTCTGGACAAAGTATCAGTGGATGGGGCAGCTTGGGATGGTTTTCTGTCCTCTATAAACTGCTGAAGGCTGTGAATGCATAAGAAATTAACAGGCAAATTTGGCAAAAACTTCTTGAATGTATCTCTGACTGTTCTTTTATCCTGAGTGCTGCCTCTGCCTTTCTTTACTGGACCCTGGATGTTGCCAGCACAGATGTTTGGCTCAGCCCCAGCGCTCATCCTGCCCACCGGAGGTTGTCAGCCTCAGCCTTCTGGGCATGGTCCAGGAAGAGCACTACAGACAGGAGAGTCATTTTGAGTCGGGTTGGGTGGAAGCAGCTGAACTGTGTTCAGCCTCTGTGTGGGTGACTTCAGTTAAAGAACTTTGGTGTGTGTGAAAGGAGAGCTCCAGACTATGGGGGAAGAGGACAGGCTTCTGGACTTGCTCCGAATCAGCTTCTGTGAGACCTTGGGCTGCTCGTTACATGCCTTACAGTGTGGGCTCCCTGTCCCATCAGGGAGGGTCATGTGAAGGTCTCTTCTCTGTCCCCCTTGGCTCCTGTGTAATATCCTGGCTGGGGCAGTGAGGCATCTCAGTGCATTTTCTTTTCTAAAATGGTGTGAGATTACTTGAGTTAAGCTTCCCAAATGTCTCTATGGGCTGGAACCTCTGCCACTGCAGTTAGAGTGTTTTCGTCATGTGGCTAGGGTTCTGTGAAAGATGAGGCAAATATTCTGATTTGTTTTTCTGGTGGCAGAAACCTCTGAATGTCAAGAAAGACTGTAGCCCTGTGGCCAGTGCCTTCTGATCCCTTGCCTTCTGTGCCGGCATTGTATTTCCAGTGTCTGCCAAATGGTATCATTTTTGTTGTTCACTGGTTCTTTCTCTGCCCTTTTTCATGGTCTCAGCCTTCTATTTTCTTTTGCTCTAACCTGCGTAGTATATGAATACTTATATTAAGCATCTTTAGGGATGCTCAGTGCCTTTGGCTGGTAGCTCCCATTCTGCTACATTTACTTCTCCCCACCCCCACCCTGCCACCTGCTGGCTCAAATTGGTATAACTGCTTGTGGTGACTGCAGGAAGGTTCCAGCTTGGTTCGGGAACCTCCTGACACACTGCCTGTGCCCTGCACAGAGCAGGTGCTAACAATATGTTTGCAAGTAAATGAATGGATGGCCAGAACTGTGAATCACAACACATTATTTTGTGGAATTCCTAAGTCTCACTTGATAGAGATGAGAAGTTACATATTAAACTTTCATATATATGCTCTTCCAGATCTTAGCTGGGGGTTGGTGACAAGTAACTCTGTCTTTTGTTAACAGATTGGCAGCAGTTAATGAACTAGCTGATGAAGTGTCCTTCTTTTATGGTCTATAGTGAGAGAACTTTCTGTCTCATCCTAACTAGTACTGACAATACTCTTACAAGGAGTTGCTCCTTCCCAATCCCTGACTTTTTTGATTACTTAATATTTTCATGTCAAGCTATGAGCCAGGAAAAATCAATACCCAATTCTTTCATGCTGGTAGCATGTGAGATAGTAAACAAGACATGGATCTTGGGAAAGATGGAAGATTTAGGAGAAGAGAAATGGACACTTGTATGAGTGTTAGTATTTGTTGGGAGTTGCTTGGGGATGGTGTGTCACTGTGTTTCATTCAAATGATGACTTTCTGCACACAAGCACTCCTCGGCTTGTTATGGGGGAAGAGCAGAGAAGGGGCTGAATGAGAGGGGAAGGGCTGTTGAGGTATGACTGCAGCAAGGGCCCTGCTGTTGCCCTGGGCACATTTAAATGGTAGGTGGAGTGGGCTGGGAGAGTAGAGGAAAGGCTCATAAGAAGGTGAGGGAGAGGGTAGGGCCTCAGAAGAGGGAGACGGACAAACTCAGGAGCAATTGTAAGAAATTATGTAGCCATCACTCATTTTAGTTTCATGACTCAGATTCCAAAAAGAGGCTTTTCTGAGGCATTGCAGTTGGACTTGAGACCCGCAGTCAATAGTCAGAGTTCTTTCCATAGATCCAGAGCCTGCCTGGTAGTTCTCCAACCTCCTGCTGCTGCCATACTCCCTGCCTCTTCCAAGCCATTCAGAGGATGCCTGGCCTGGAGGAGAGATGTATCAGTCTGCATCCCCTCACAGGCCTGCTGAGTACCTGCTTCCTGGCCACTGGGTGGAGCTTCAAGGGAGTTGGTATTGGTGAGAGCCTGGTGACATCACCAGGAGGCAAGATGGGAGGGGGAGCTGTGCAGCCAGCACTCTTCTTTACTGAGAAAAGGGCAGGTGCCTCCCAGGCTGCTGGGCTTCTGCCTGCTGGTGGTGGTCCAGGTCTACTTCTGGAACATTGATTGCTGCCAGATACTGCTGGCCACATTGGCAGTCCAGTGCACTCTGGGAGTTTGGGGCACCTAGAAGGGCAGCATTTCTGGGAGTCTGATACTGCTGCAGATGATGATCACTCCTGAGTCTCTTCCTCTTTATTCTCTGAATCCCTCACCCTGGTTCTGAATGCTGGCTTCTTGGTTGATAGGCTAAGCCTGAACTGAAACAAACACTCCCCATACTGTCCACCATGAATGAATTCCACTCCAAGGTATTTCTCCTAGCAGAGGAAGCCATTTGAGGCATTTCCCTCAGTTAGCCCATCTCTGGATCCTCTTAGAGCTGTCTGGTAGAACAGTTGAGGTATAGATGAAATAAATGTAAACTTCTCTGGAGAGTTGGGGAGACTCAGAGCTTTTGACTATAAGGAAAGGGAGAAGGAACATATGGAAAGATCTGCAAAGGGAACTTCAGAGTGTGGGGCCCTTGTCCTCATTTTGGAACAGCAAATCAGGATTTCACCCTAGTTCCTCCAAACCTCAAATCAAGTTGCCATGTGATACAGAGGGTCAGGGACTGATTGCTGCCATAACTGCCACTTGAAATAATGATCACTTTTCATACTGTCCAGCAGTGCTGGCCCCATTAGAAAACCTATTCCTTATGGATTGCTCCCTTAATAATGGTTAGTTAGCTGAAGGTCCAGTGTTTGGTGAGCCTTCTGGAACACAGGAAGGGTTTGCATGGAGCAACCAGAGGCAGAGAGCTGAGTGAGGTCCTCATTAACTTGTGTAAGTGGGGTCAGGTCTCTCTCAGGCTTCCCATGCTTCTGGGTGAAAGGCAGCTGCCTTGGTGGCTCATGTTCCTTAACTGACCTGGCTGTCTATGAGCTCTGGGCTTGGGCCTATGCAGCTTGAGCACCATAGGGGTGTCTGTAGAGTGCTTTCTTTTGATGAATGCGATTGAGGAGTCTCAGCTGGGAACTCAGGTTCAGATATAGCCTGTCTAAACAGAAGGGATACAAGACTGGACCAGGTCCACGAAGCATTTGGGCCTCCCAGAGTCTCGGGGTGAGGGACACAGGCTGCCTCCCCACAGGGATGCTACAGATCAATTTCCTGGGTAAATCAGGCCTGGTCCTGCTTGGAGGCAGATGGACAAGATAAAGGTCAGGTAGATACCCTGAGAGACTCCTAGAATGTGGCCGAGAGAGAATGCCAGCTGTGTATTTGCTTCCTTTCCAAAGCATTAAAAATTAAACTTCCTTGTCTTAATATCTATTTTTAAATCATGTCAGAGCCAGCATTGATGTTAGTCAAGAGGGGGAGGGGAAGGTAGGGTGAACGAGAGAGAGGCCGCCCCAGTTGAAACCTTGTAGAGAGGGCTCTGGGCTTGCATCCTGGACTGTTTGCAAGAGCATAGTGAACAGCAGCAGCCTCTTCCCACCCTGTGTGCCTGGCTGCCCTTAGCTGAACTTCATGGCAGGCCCAGTGGCCTTCGGTCTTCTGTGACTTGCTAGGGTGTTGGGGCCCCAATCGAGTCCATTCACTCACGCTACAACTATTTGCTGAATGCCCTCTGTGTGCACTGGAGACTCCAGTTGGTAAGGACAGGGCTCGACTGGGCTGCACAATCATATCAGCTTTCCCAAGCCAGGAAGTCGTGGAATTGGGAGGTCATCTGCCCTGTCCTGTGCTCAGCATTTGAACACAGGCCTGCCAGGGCAGGGGCTGGCATGCAAGGGGCTCTTCCTTCTTCCCCAGCATTCTAGAATTTGGCATCCTGGTAGCCTGCTATGACTTGTCCTCTGTTCTCACGCTCTTTCTTGAAATGTTTGCTTTTTCAGAAAGAAATGGAGAAATGGAGGAAAAAAGAGCCTCAGGGTTTTTCTTCTTCTTAATTTGGAAAAACACAATGAATCATGTGATTTTTCTGTTTTTCTCCTATTAAGAGGACTAATGAATGCCCTGTATCCAGTGTGTACTGTAGGCTG